GGCCCCGCAGGGCGGAGCGGAGGACGGACGGACAGACGGCCAGCCGCGCCATCTGCTCGCCGGAGCTCACTCTCCAAACTCCAAACTGTTGAGTGTGTGCGTGCACGCGAGGGTGGGGGTCGGGGGTCGTAAGTCCCGGGTGAGGAACTGGTTTCTGCTGGGGTTACCTTTGGACGGGGTTCCTGGGATTCAGAGCAGGGTCAGCGTCAGTCTCAGAAACTGCTGAGGAATTAGGCAAACAAAAGAGACCACTCAGCGACTGGCCAGAAGTCGCCCGACCGCCTTGTCGCGCCCCCTCCTTCCTCCGGGGTTGGGACTGGCCACTTCTGGGGCGGGGAGAGGGCGCCCGAGCCGGCGGGGGCTCTGGCTGCGCAGCCGGGGTCGAAGAGTTGGCGGCCTGTTGTGTAAGCCTCAGTCCTTGTTTTCCCGGCCTGGCTCGTTGTGAAGCCGGACACATCCACCCTTGGACTCGATTCAGGCGGCTGCTGCTTTTCTCCTTGCCCCTCTTGGATTTTCCGGATATTTGAAAACCCAGTGGCCCAGGAGCAAGAGGAGGAGGAAGGAGGAAGGGGCAGATCTGCAGAGGAATGTGAGAGCCTCCCAAAGCGAGAGTGGCCAAAAGAATCTGGGAGCCAGAGGGACAGCCGAGCCCTGCCTGGGTTTCTGGAATGGTGGTTTCCGAGTGAGTCTCTTCTATTTTAGAACGTTGTTCCAGTGGAAAGTGTCGAATTTTTCCCCTCGCAGGGCAGATTTCTCCAGGTCACTTGACTTTTCTTCTGGGAGTAGGAGTTAGGAGAGACTCCCCTCTAATCCCCCAGGGGCTGCTAAGGGAGGAGGCTATGGACATGAGCCCTCCCTGCTCACAAGCATATGCCCGGAGACCTGATAGGGCAGTTTCTGGGCCGTGGACATTGCTTTGAAGAGCGGGAGATTGGACAGCATCTGTGGGTGCTGAGACCCCACCTTAGGACCTGAGAGATTGAACTGTGTAAGCGCCATTCAGCTGCGAGTGCATTCTTGGACTTCCTTGTGAGCATCCCGGGTCTGGACAGGACCCTCTCCTTCCCATCTGTCTATACCACCCAGCCCAACCATG